CTCTCTGCTACAAGTCATCATGCAAGGTAGAGTACGTTGAGTTGACGTTACAAATGGTAAATTTTTTGTCCAGCTATTTGGCGTAGTGTGTCCTGCATGTACACCAACATATACAATTTACTTACCTTCGCTTCTTTAATATTTAATTTTGTCCAAATATTTAATGCGTAGAGCACGAACATTCAGTCTCATGAAAACGATGAATGGCATTTCTAATGAACTGTTTGTCATACTCCCTCAAGTATGTCATGGTTGCTTTCCTTTTAGCTGTTTTATTTATTTTACATATTATTCAAAAATAAGCTTTTTAAATTTACATATTTAAATTATTTGTACCGTTATATACACAAGATATTGTTGTTTTTAAATCTACGTACAACATGAAACAGTTTTCCCGATAATGAACGAATTTCGTGACCTGAGATAAATGAAATTGTAAATATAACACAAATAAAAGGCATAACTAGTTTCTAATGGCAACAGACTCGGTCCTAAAAAATAAACAAGAAAGCGGAAACGGAAGCAAAAAGACAACATAAGCGACGAGAATTCAGCGAACTTGAACATTTCCGATTGAGCAGCTTGTATATTATATTGTATTATATCGATAAGAAACGGCTGGCGATATAAATTTAATTTTTTTAGTGAAAATAACCATAAAATATAGTCTTGCTCTTTGTGGGTTGTAACAGTTGTAATACAAGCTAATATATCTGAAATTAGCAGAGAAATCTATAGAAAAATATTCGGGCATATTGATTTTTATTTATACAATAATATCTTGAAAATTGTTTTCTTAAATTACCCTTTTTAAGGAGAATAACCTATTTGACATAATAGTATATTCTGAAATATGACTCAGGTCACATGCAAAAATTTAACCATAAACAGTATAACCGTAAATATTGCTAATATCGCTCATTTGCGACAAGAACGACATAATTCAAAATTTGAGTTTAACGAGATTTTTGTTACACATTATCAACATTTGTGATATTTTATTAATGCTAGGACGACATATGAGAATTACCTTCGGTAGTGAAAAGAGGGCGACAGTGTCGTTCTAACTCCACTCAGTACATAGATTAAATATATATAAGTAGAGATAGATAGGCAACTCTTTAATACCAAAAATTGCAATGTATACAGCGCCCTCTGCTTGGTTTAGTCATGAACTAAATGGGTAATGACGCGGCGGGAATTTTAAACGTTCGAATAAGCTTTGTTACTAATTATTGTAGTAAAACAAGATTCTACAACATAATACAAATTATAAAAAATAATCGACAATTGTTTCTTAGATTAACATTAACGATTATTTTTTGTAATTTGCATTACATTGTGCAATCTTTTATTGCAATTATGAACAGACTGCACATAATAGAAAAGGAAAGGAAGAAAAACAAAATTCAAAAATTAAAATATTTATTTAAAAAATTAACGACACAATTTACAAGTAACAAAATTATTTTAAGAACGTAAACATACTTACTTGGTGGTAAAAATAAAGATGGAATAGCATCTTTTTTAATAGTGGATTTATTTATTAGTCCAATGTATTGTGCATCTGGCCCAAAATGGACATTACATACACGGTATGATTTTCGTACCTTCTCCATTGGAATTTCTTGTAAATTGGGATGGAAAATCCTTTTAATCCAAACATTATACAGCTACAAAAAACATACAAGAATTAGTGTCTAATAGGTATAGTATAAAAAAATATATTTAAAGTTCATAACAATAATAGCAATGTAAATCATATTATCTATTACTTCTTTCCTTTTTTTGTTGTATCATCTGTAAATACTTCAGTTTCTGGATATTTTTACATTTTGTTCTAACACAAGCAAGGTTAAAACATTTTAAGGTTAGAGATTAGGGATGGCGGTTTTTGACAAAACACCGGTTTTCGGTTATACCGGTTTTTTTTGCTTACGGTTTAACCTGGCGGTTATAACCGGCCAAAAAAAACCGGTTTTTCCAAAAACCGGTTTTCGGTTTTTTTAATCCAATAGGTTACAAAGTTACATTAAAAATGAACTTTAGCTTGCGATACTTCATTCGAATCGATTTCAATATGATCAAAATTAGTACTATCGAAAGAACATTATTACCTATATAAATAAAACACGTTTATGCTTTAAATATGTGACGTAAGAACCAATAGTATCGCCTTCTATTATAAATATGCGGTTTAAATGTTAAAATGTTTACTAACGAAAGAATGAAAATGAAACTATTTAGAGTGATTATTTTTATGGCAATCGCAGAAACGCTGTTTAAAAGTTAAAGACCTTATAATAATCAGGTCGTATTATTCCAAACACCCATAATTCAAATTTTATGGGACCAAAGGCGGCTCACATCAGTTCAGAATTTAATATGGGTCATAATATTTACCATATATACAAAATTTTAAGAGTGGGAGAATGATTTATAGTTACCAATACGTGCCGATACCCATTGATGTTAATTGTTATGGTTTAGGGATTAAATTACAATTACGAATTTCCGGGATTTCTCATTCTTTGTATTTAATTTTTAAACAATACAGGGAAGTATCAAATAAATTTTAATACAAACGTATTGAAAATAATATCAAATTTTTTGTGATGATAACAAATTTAAACAGTAGATTTCCGAATCGAAAAAACCTAATAATCTAATAACCGGTTTTTACTTTAAAAATAAAAAACCGGTTATAACCGGGACACAAAACAAACCGATAAAACCGGTTATTGCGAAGTAAAAAAACCGGTTTTCGGTTAAAATCGGTAGGTTTTTCCCATCCCTATTAGAGATACATACTTACGAATATCTTGTTTGTTAATCGTTATTAAAATATTATTGGCAAATCAAAATAAAAGCTATTTTTCATTTTAATATTAAAATAAATATTAATTATCACTTACCTCTTGATTTTTCGGAAAAATATGCATTTGAGCATCTTTTTCACATCTTTTACAACGTCGAATTTCAGTTGTGCTGCAGTGTTCAGTAGAGGCGGTTGCGTGTATTATCATCAAGAACGACATATTTCATGAGTAGACGTTATTCTTGAAAAGGTAAGTTCAATTTTATGATAAAACATTTTATTTAGAATGACCGAGTTAGTGTTAGGACGCTCTTCTTGAAAATAACTAATAACATAACACTTTGTTTATTTTGATATATGACGTTTTTTATGAAAAAGAAAATTTATTGTTTTAAAACATTTTGAATTATGCTGTTATTATAGTAGCAATATTTCTTTAATGCTTTCCTAAGTATGTATTATTTAGTATAGAGTTATATAGTTATAATTAAAGACAGTATGTATTAAAATGTATATTATACTGTATTATGACGATCTTGATAATAACAAATTGGCAAAAGTTATTTTCAAAAGATAATTATTTTTTAACAATTATACGTATTTTTATATTTCTACATAAAGAAAATTAAATTGTGTTTATATTTGAAGTTTTAAATTTGTAGCATAAAAATGGGCACTCGTGGTAAATTTATACTAGACCGGCTACAAAAAATATTGAAGAGTCAGCATTCCGTTGTAAATGAAAAGCTTGCTTACTATGCCGAACAATCACAGATCAATCCAAGAGGTAAACTACATTATACTTATAATCTAGTAAATATTTCATAACTTTTTTTTATTTTTAGACGCAGATGTTTCATCGCCAATTGTACCGGAACTACTCGATACTTTACATAAAAATGATCAAAATCGTTCTTCTATAAGTCATTCTAGAAATTCTAGTTCCTCCAGCAGTAGTTCTAGTTATAGTTACTGTAACAGTTCATCTTCAGAAGGTACAGTCTTGTCTAGTGTTAATTTCTGGAAATTCCATAAAAACTTGTAACTCCTTTGACTTGAACGTATTGTCGAATGTTTGCCGCCTTTCTTGAGCCAATGGCGGACGACAACGACTGTATCCAATACGTAGGTATCCATAATGAAAAGCGTTGCCGGTTAGAAATTTTTATGGAAAATAAGTTCAATTTAAATATACATACTACATTAAAATATTTTTTCCAAAACTAGAAAATATTTTGTTTTGCTTGACTTAAATAATATCGTATTGACCGAGTATTAATTTCTTTTTAATTAAATTTCCAGCTAAAAATAACGACCAGTCAATCCTACCGACCACAACAAATAGTGAAAACGAAATTGTTGCCGAACATATTTCCAGGAAAAGCTTTCCGAGAAACGACTCTGCATTAGACAGATCCTTTTATGAAGGTAAATCTTTGGAATTTGTATTCTCTTCAATTTTTAAAAATTATGGATGTTTACTGAAATTATTTATATTTTTGCAATAAAAAAAACAGCTTTTCATTTATTTTCAGACAGTGATGATTCAGTAAAGGACCCTAACTATGAACCTGATGATGTTTTACCTAAAGATGCGAATTTGTCACAAAGTACATCATCTTCTACTTGCTTAACCAGTATTTTGTCACCATTGGCGAGCCCGGTAAAAAAAGGACGAAAGCGTGAAAGAAAAGAGGAAAACTGGAAAAAGAATGTATTACAAAAATTAAAAATAAGTGGCAAAGAGTACCAATCACACACATCTCATAAGAAAGTGGTAAAGGCGAAGAAAATAAAGCCGCCCTGTAAAGAAAAATGTAAGTTACAATGTAGGCTAAAACTCACCCAAGAAGAGAGGGAAGCTATCTTTAACAGCTATTGGGCCCTAGATAGTAATGAGAATCAATGGAATTCCATTTCCAAGAGTATGGAATCAATTTGTCCGAAGTATAGATATATTCGAGAAGGAGGCTCTCGACCTCGACGGCATAATAATAATTCGTTTTATTTCCACTTGCCTGACAAAAAAGTTAGAGTATGTAAGACCTTCTTTAAAGCAATTTTGGATATAACAGACCGACCGATTCGCACAGTTACGGAAAAACAGAATAAAGTTGCTAACACTCTACTAGAAAAAGATCAACGTGGGAAGCACGGTAAACATCAAAAAATAGATGAAAAGGTTAAATCTGATATTAGGGATTATATTAACTCGATCCCAAAAATCGAAAGCCATTACACCAGAGCTAACACTTCGAAACATTACATTGACGGCAGTAAATCAATAGCAGATATTCACAAGGATTATGTTGCTAATTGCAAAGGAAAAAAATGTACCTTTTGGCAATTACATTCTATTTTACAGAATTTTTACAGAGCAGTATAATATTTCCTTCTTTCAGCCTAAGAAGGATCTTTGCGATACTTGTACAATTTATAATAACTCCGAAAATAAAGAAAAAGACAACCAAAAAGAACGCTACGAACTTCATTTAAAAGAAAAAGAACTGTCACGCTTACACAAAGTAGAAGATAAGGAAAATAGTAATCAAGTAGTCGCCGTTTACGACCTACAGGCGGTTTTTCAGTGCCCGAAAGGTGATGTGTCCCTTTTTTACTATAAATCAAAATTAAATGTTTTCAATTTTACAGTTTACGACTTACACTCAAATACTGCCGATTGCTTTGTATGGGATGAGTCTAGTGGAAATAGAGGTGTTAATGATTTGGGCACCTGCGTTTTCAACTATTTGCAGGCAAAGTCAATGGGAGAAAACGATATAGATGTTATTTTCTACTCGGACAACTGCGCCGGACAGCAGAAGAACAAATTAATGTTGGCTGTTTACTCATACTGTTTACAAAAACTTCCTAATATCAGATCCATAACCCATAAGTACTTAATAAAGGGCCACACTCAAAACGAGGGTGATTCTGCACATTCGCTCATAGAAAGGCAGGTGAAAAGACAATTAAAAAGTTATCCCATGTACACACCAGATTCATTCATTGCGGCAATCAAATCGGCAAGAAAAAATGGACAGCCATATCACGTACATGAAATGTCGTTTGAAGATTTTTTTGACTGGAAGGATGTTTGCACACAAATGGGACTGAATGTCACTAAAAATGTAGAAAACGAGCCAGTTAAACTTTCAGATATCAAAATTTTGAAACTTGAAAAATCATCCCCACAGGTTTTATACTACAAACACTCATATAACGATAAGACTTTTAAAAAGGCCGTAATAATTAAAAGGAAAAAATATCCTGAAATAGTGGTTAAAAAAGCTTATGACTGTAAGCCAGGAATTTCTGAAAAAAAAATCCGATTTGCTTGACTTATTAAACAAAAATGTTATACCGAAATACTATGCACCGTTCTATAAGTCATTATAAATATTTTTATTTTTTTTTCTTTGGTTTAAAATGTTCGTTTTGTATTAATTGCATTAAAATTTAGATTATTATAAATATGTTATGTTAAAACCTTCTTGTTCAGTTGTAGCATAAGCATCAAAATGGTATTTTTTTGTAAAAGGTATGTTTTGTTAATAAAAATGTTTACATGAATTACCTTCCATAGCCATTTATTTAAAAATTAATACTTACTTCAAGAAAAATTGCAGTAATATAGACATAATACTAAATATTGTCTTGTCTTTCTTAAAAAAAATTAAAGCACTTATCAACAATAATGTCATTTTTCGGAATAATACCAAAATAGGTCCAATGTTTTTTAGAAAGAACGACATAAAAATTTATTTATTTTTATTTAGACAAAATAATGCGAAACAAATTACGGAAAACATTAGGTCTTATTAAATTACGATATCTGTATATATGTATACCTTGCTAATATGTTATAAAAAGTCGGATAAGCAATGTGAAACTAGAAATCATCTGATAAAATCTTTATTAGCGACTTCTCAAAATTTTACTTTTTTGAATTATGTCATTCTTGTCGCAAATGAGCGATATGTCAAAAAATGCTAATTTTTAATTTTTTTATTCCTATTTTAAGTGAAAAATCAATACTAAACAAATATCTTCCAGTATAAATAATAAATATCGTTAAATGTATCAATAACAACCATAAATTCAGAAAGAAACAATCGCATTACTCCCTTTACAACCACTTGTATACTCAAGCTGCAAGTCCAGAAAAAAAGGTGGAAAACGATATTTAACCTATAAAATTGATTCCAAAACATAACACTAGGCTTCTACTTGTACGCCGGTGAATGTTAATTTGTGCCGCTACAACCGTAGTGTCTTGAAATTACAGTTTCGTTTTGGACGGATATTGCCGTCATGCCACATAGTGAATTTTGCCTTGACGGCTATAGACGCAAGTGTTCGTCAACGTCTTAAATATTTGAAGGCTTTTATACATGAACCTTGGAAAAAAGTTGATCTGGGGATATGGGGGTTAAACTAGAATTTCGCCAAATGGGGTTGTTTCCGCTGGAGATGTGTTTCGCACCATAATTCATCCGAATTATGGTGCGATTAATAGAGATAAGATTAATTCATCTGAATTAATAAGTTTACCTGGTGTTCAATCACAAATGAATCCCTTAATTTGTAATCTCACATTAACTCTATTCACCTGTGAATGAATTATCGAATAATCTAGTTTTCTAATTAAATTTCCTAAGTGTTGCAATTACGGCCTAGAATAAATTGTATTGTAAGCTTATCTTTTCAGATATATTTGGATCTGACCCTACCCCAATACTAAGTGAAATGATGCCATAGCTGACTGAAATCGTGTTCGAGGAAATATTGCATCCTCCTTAAATCCTTATCTTTTAACTTCCACCACTTTACTGTCTGGTGCCCTACTTGCTTTCTTTTTCACCTCTTCTTTACCTACCCACTATCACCAGTCGGTGTTGACTAGATATATTTATCACTTTACAGCTGTAGCCTCTTTTAGCTCACTTCTTCTACTTAATACAAAATCTATATGATTTTGCCTTGCCCAGCGACTATAGGTAACATACTGGTCAAATCCCATGCTACTGCAAAATCAATCACACTACTTTGTTCATCATTTATTAGTCCCATCCCCAAACCTACATAAACTTTTTCTATTCCCGCTCTTTCTGTACAAATATATTCATTTAAATCACCTCTAATAAAACATTTTTCGTCTACAGGAATCTCCATCACCTCACAATCAAGGGCCCTCCAAAATTCTTCCTGTTTCTACCCTTCACACCCTACTTATGGGGCATAGGCATATATGATGTTCACATTGATAGTGCCTGTAGTCAGTTCTTCTTCTTAGAGTGCCATATTCCTACGGAACGTCGGCAACTACCATGCTTATAATATTATTATACTGATCTCGGTCTTGGGCTACGTGTAGCAATTGGTCCGCTGTCAAACCTGTCCACTGCCGCAAATTCCTCAACCAAGAGAGTTTCTTCCGTCCTATCCATTTCTTTTCTTCGATTTTACCGTTGAGAATTAGCCGAAGGAACTCATATCTTGGTCCTCTGATTATATGTCCAAGATATTCTAGTTTACGCCTCTTAATAATATTTAATAGAGTTCGTTGATGTCCCATTCTTCGAAGAACTTCTTCGTTTCTGGTTCTGCTAGTCCATGGAATTTTTAGTATCCTTCGATACAACCACATCTCAAACGCCTCGATTTTATTCATGATATCGGCGTTTAAAGTCCAAGTTTCACATCCATACAAAAGTACAGACCACACGTAACATCTTGTAAACTTTTCACGGATTTCCAAATTTAATGAGTTATTGGATAATAGAGGCTTGAATTTTTGAAATGAGTTTCTTGCCTGTTCAATTCTACATCGAATTTCGAAGGATGGATCTAGATTTTGGGTAATCCAACATCCAAGGTATTTGAATCTCTGAACTCTCTGCAGCGGTTGTTGGTTTAATATCAGTTGGGTTGCGCCGATATCCACTTTACTGGTCACCATGTATTTAGTTTTATCGATATTTATCGACAGTCCCCAATTTGTGCATTCCATGTCAACTCTATTGATTAGCTCCTGCAGATCGTCGATGTTTTCAGCTAGAATCACAGTACCGTCGGCGTACCGTATATTGTTAATTATTTCTCCTCCTATGATAATTCCTTTTTGATCTTTTAAAGCTTCCCTAAATAGATTCTCAGAATACACGTTAAAGAGGGTAGGAGATAGTATATAGCCTTGTCTTACGCCTCGTTCAATACTGATTGGCTTTGATTCTCTGTTATTGGTATTAATAATGGCTGTTTGGTTCTAGTAAAGTTTGGCAATAAGTTTGATGTCTTTCTCATCTAGTTGGATGCTCTGCAAGGCGGTAATTAGTCAGTTGGACACTCATTATTCTATCACTTCTTCTGGCTACCCTTACAAGATGTTCCTTCCATTCGTTGTACAAAATAATACCTACTCCCAGTTGCTCATAGTTGCAACTCTCCGTACTAGCTTCTTTGGCTCCTTTCGTTCTCTAAGGGGTAGCCCTGGCTCATTTTTCACTCTCACTTTTCGCACTGTCAGGCAAAGCCGCAAGGGCTTTACGGGGAACGCCCTAGCCTCTAAACTATTTTCCATATTCCTCCTTTCCATGGGTTTTTACCAGGTTTTACTGCCGAGTGCCCTTCCTCCTTTATCCGGGCTTGGGAACAGCACTGATAGCTACAGAGCTCCTCAATTGACTCAGCAAGTACCAGAGCATTTAAAAATTTTAATATTATATATACTTCATCTATTTTACATACCGTTGCACGTCATCATTTACGTCAGAGATCGGAGTTGGCATAGTTGCCAAAGTATAAAAAAATTCTGAATCCATTTTAAATCAGATAGGTCACATAATTATTGCAAAAGTATTGCCATCTCTTTACAACGATTATTTAAATTCTTACGTGACATTTTTTAAATAAAACACACTAATTTTGTTCTAAAAAGAACAGATTTTATTAAATAGGTAAAAAATAAAACGAGATGTATTCACTTTAAAATTCAAAACAAAAAGTGTCAACACCGCAACTGTCAAATAAGTGTTACCAATTTATGCCAAAGTTTCACCTTCGTTCGATTACAGTTACAGTGTGTTCTGAACAAATGTTCTTCATAAAAACGCTTTATAATGCATTTATATAAATTAAATGAAACATATATTGTGTATTTCTTTAAGTTAACATTAATAG